GGTTTAGGGGTGTCGGTTTAGGGTTTAGGGCTTAGGGCTTCCCTCGGGGAAAGCCCATACTCCACGGACTCAGACATCCTCCGTAGATTTCCCAGGGACTCCAAAACCCCTTAATTTAATTAAGGAATGTACCTTAAATTATAATGCGAACCCTAATAAGATTTAAGGTGCATTCCTTTAATTAAGGGGTTTTGGAGTCTCTGGGTTGGTGCATCTCAGGCTTTGCTGGTGGCGGACTCAGCGCCCAGCAGACCGTGGGGTGATCGCTTTAGGTTTGAGAGTATTGGGATTTCGGGTTTAGGGTTTAAGGGGTTTAGGGGGTTTAGGGGTGCAAGGGGTTTAGGATTTAGGGGTTTAGGGGTTTAGGGTAAGCTGCGGCGATGTATCGGTTTTGTTGCTGTGGAGTTTCTGGGCGGCTTTCGACTTGAATCTTCGGGGGCTTGGGGGTCGTGAGATTCGGGGTTCCATCTGCCGCTGGGCTCGATTAGTGTGTTGATGAGGGAATAGCTCTATCATAACAATTGTTGGTAAAGCCCAACCTTAACCATCTAATACCTAAACCTCTATAATTCTCGAGAACAGCTCAAGCTAATGTAATTTAGAACCTACCCTAAACCGCAAACCCCTAAACCCTTAACCCCCGGAACCCCTTAAACTCTAAACCCTACAAACCTTGTTCCCAAACCCCTTAAACCCTAAACCCTAAACCCTACTAGGTCCCCACTTCCTCCAAGTCAGGGTTTGAGGGTCCAGGAACTTTTTCCGTGGGAAGTTGAGTAAGTGGGTAGTTCTCTAAATTAGGGTCCTGTTTTAGGATCCTACTGGTTTAGGATTCAGGGTTTAATGTTTAGGGTAGGTCCCGTAGGTCCCAAATACTACGGTTGATGATCTAATCCCTGCCTTACCCATAGTAACCCTAAGGGTCCGCGTACTCAAACAGGAGATACTTCAGCCCCAAAGTACCCAAATAGGGACTACTTTAAAGCCAAAGTATATACTGTTTAGGTACATGGACCCTTAGGGTAAGGAATATACCATAAATAACATAGTTTAGGGTCCTTAAGGTCATGCAGGATTTATATCATCAGCCGTATGTAATCCTGAGATGTAGAAACATAGGAAGTGTTATAGTAGGAACTTGTTGGTGCAGGGTTTTCTGGCTCAGGGTTTAAATTGAGGGTGGAAGGTTTAGGGTTGAGGGTAACCTGGCCTAGAGGGTTCCGTTAGGAGTGCATTTCATGTAACCTCTACCTGAACCCCCCAAGGAATTAGGGGAACCGTCATAATGAAAAACCGAGACATATCGGTTTCTTTGCGTCCAAGCAAGTCAAAGCTTCAGTTCCTGTTGTAAGCGCGACAGGTCAGGCTTTGGCACTGGGCCGCAAGAAGCCTTTCTGCCGGTGTACAAAATATCTCCACAAAACGGAACATGCAGTATTATTCGATACAGTTCGCATAGTTTAGGGTGAGGCAACCTATGCATCGCTAAACTGAAAGATTATTGTTCTAGGCGGTATAATCCCTTCAATCAGAGTGTACTGCTCAAATCTTAAACCCAACTCGGCGTCTAGCGTGGGTTTATGGGGGTAGGCGCCACGCGAAAGGGATCCCAAATAGTAAGAAGCCCCACCAAAAGAGCTACAGTGCAGCCCTTTGCACAAGCACCCTAGACCCTATACCCCTAAACCTTAAACCTTGTAACAAGCAAGAGGTTTAGGGTGGAGGGTCCACGGAACCAAATGGAAGGCACCTCTAATGCTGAGATCTCCCCCTGCGGCTTAGGGTTTAGGGTTTCGGGTTTAGGGTTGAGGGTTTATAGGGTTCTGCAGGCCATGAAGCTCGGCAAGAAGCGAATTATTGCAGCTTGGCCATTGGCTTTATCCTTCCGAAATTATGACAAATCTGGTCGGGGTCTAATAAGAGATCCGGTCTGTTTCTGGTGCAGGGAAGTGCCGAGTCTGTTCTGGGGTTAACAAGCACACTCTACTTTGGGGTAAGGAGACAGTCTGAACTTTGACCGGGATCTTACTATCTCGGGTCTGCTTTTGGGACCCCCCCTTTCTGCTCTGAAACTCTAGGGTTTAGGGTTTAGGGTTTAACGTGTAGGGGGGTTTAGGGTGTGAGGCTGGAGGGTCGGTATGATTCGATGTAGAAGCTAGCAATACATGTCCTGAGGGTTCGTCGTCGTGCTTGTCCCATAAGATCTCCCAAGCTTCTTACAAAGAATGCGACCCCACGGGTTCCGGGCGTGGTTCAGCGTGTTTCAACCTTAATCCGGCTTCTGTGTGATTAAACAAAGCTATGCAGTCCTTTGTAGGGACCCTTCTGGTTGAGCTCTGAGTTTCAAATGTCAGGCGTGCGAGATTCCGGGTTTGCAGGGGTGGATATGAATTTCGGGGCATTAGAATTATTGTTCTTGTGTGGGTTTGATTGAGGTTTCTGCAGTCTGGGTTTCGTGCCCTGCGTCGCGAACATCCTGTGCCGCCAGCCGGAAATTTTCTTAGCCATGTCCTAACACCGAAACCCTACAAGCCTAAAACGCTGAAGAACCCTGACAACACCCAAAGAGGCTGATGTTACGAAGCCCTATAACAAAACGAATAGCATCTTGCCACCCCAGAAGCCTCCCGGAACCCTGGAAGAACCCTAACCCTTAGCATCAAAATAGCCCAAAAGCCTTGTATAATAGGGTCTTTGGGCCCCAAAACCTCAAAATATGAGTCCTTTGAGGGTAAAGGTAAATACGCAAGCCCTAGTGAAGGAACCTTGCAAGAGCCCGGAATCAGGCAGAAACTGGTGCTGGACAGCATGGCGTGGCCACGGCTGCGGCTTGCGCGCTCCTGGACCTGGAGTGTGTGGCTTGGAGCGAAGCTATCTGAGTAGCAATCCTTATCGCTTTAGGTTTATCATATTCTTTGAGTACGAGGGGCCGGAAGCAAGGTGCTTGTGACTTTCCTTGCAACTACCTGGGAACTGCCAGGCTGTAGCACTTTCGGGGTTAGTGTTTAGGGCTTTAGGGCTTTATAGCGTTTCGGGTCTAGGGGTTTAGGCCTTAGGGATGTAGGGTTTAGGGTTTCGACTTTAGAAGTGATGAGAGCCGAAATGCTGCACTCTCCGTGAGGACTCTGAGACCCGCTTTGGGCCTAAAGCCAAAGCTGTCTCGGGTCTAGGGTTTAGAGTTTTACTTCGTCCCCCTGGGAGGCCCAGGGGACGTAACAAGACTACGTGGGGATGATATCTTACCTGTGCATTCTAGAGTCGATGTTCTGTAAGGTAGGGTCCTGCAACCCGACGGAAGCTAGGTTACAAGTAGACCGCCTCGGAAGACTCCTGCGCCAAAAATTGGCAATAAACTGCATGAAGGTTAACAGGGTTTAGGGTTTAGGGTGTAGGGTTTAGGGTTTAGGATTTCGGGGGTTTGTATGGTTTCGGGCAGATACGCTGCAGTATCAAGTCCTGCATATTCAGGCCTTTGTATTGCGTGTGCAAGCATCAGGAGCAACTTCCACGCAGAGCGATCTAGGGGGAAGTGGGGCTTTGTGACAGATTGTGTACATGGGCGAGATCGACACAGAGCGGCAAAAGCTCAATTGCTTCCGTCGCTTGGCAGCATGCATCTTCCACCCCGCAAAGCGAAGCATCCCCAAACACGCAATCGAAGAGTCCTCCCAGAGAGCCCAATGCCCCTTAACGTCAGGAATATAGTGTAAATCATAATATGGAGCCACTGCTATTTTCAGGTGTATTCCTTAGTTAAGGGGTATCGGGCTCTCTGGGCTCAAGCTGAGCCTAATACCTAAGGCGACCAAAAGCCTCTAGCCAAGCCTGCAACTTAATTGTCCGCCCGCCAAACTATGCACATGCCCTGAATCCCCGGAAGCCCCAAACGGTTCGCAGAGACTCCAAAACCCCTTAGTTAAGGAATTATACCTTTAAATTTTATAGGAACCCTAATAAGATTTAAGGTATATTCCTTGATTAAGGCGTTTTGGAGTCTCTGGGTTTGGGGTTTAGGAGTGAAGTTCAGCGGTTTTATGGGGTGAGGGGTTGACGAGTTTAGGGATTTGTCTTTATACCCATAGGCTCCAAAGTAGTTCCTTTATTTGTGGTTTATGTTTAGGATCCTATAGGGGGTCATCCCCCAAAATGAACTACTATGGAGCCTATAGGTAAGCCCGAAAACCCGAAGCCCTAAGACCCTACACCCCTAACCCTGAGCCCCAAACCCCTAAATTCCCCCCTAGAATATTTAGGATCCTATAGGGCAATCCCCAAAAAGGAACTACTATTAACCCTAAACCCTAAACCCTAAGCCGGACTATGGAGCCTATGGGCAGGGTTTAGGACTTCGGCACTATGGAGTCTATGGGTACCCTCAACTACCATAACCGGCCTTTTTGTAGGATCTTGGTACATACCCTGATTTGAAACTTATAGGGACTCTACATACGAGTTCAGGGATCAGTGTCTAGGATTTAGGACTTCGGCGTTGGTACGGTTCTGACATCCGTGGCTTCAGAGGACTGAAGACCGAACTCTGAGGCTTCGCACAAGCGGAGATACGAAATATTCCCGGGACCGTTTATGATAGAAGCTCCAAAACCCCTTAATTAAGGAATATACCTTAAATTATAGTAGGAACCCTCAATAAGATTCATTTGAGGTATATTCCTTAATTGAGGGGTTTTGGAGTCTCTGGGTAAATGGAATAAGGCTTCTTCAAAAACAGTCCTCTGAGGGATCGATATTGGATTCAGGATGACTCAAGGTTTTGGGGTTTAGGCTGGCTGTGCGGTCTTGAATGATTGGGACAGGGTTGTGAGGTATTCTTTGGTCGACGTATACTAAGCCCAACAATTCGGTACTCGGGTTTGGGATAGCAGTTATGTTGGCTGGCATTTGGGAGTCACTGTTTCGATCGTTTCGTTGAGAGCGTCAGCTAGTGGACCGCAAAAACCTGCTAAGGCCCAGTGGCAGTGCCCAAGAGCAAGAAAAGCATGGAAAAGACAGACACAGGTTGGCCATTGATGAGGCTTGAGGAAGTTGGGTTTGCGGTCTCGTTAGTGTAGGGTTCAAAGTTCAGTGGGTTTAGGTAAAACTGTGCTTTCACACCTGGCAGTATGCAAGGAGCCCTTCCTTAGTAGTTGAGTAGGTAGTTTTTAACCTCTTGGGGTTCATATGATACTACCATATTTAATATTAATAAACCCCTCGACCCTTTTCTTTTTAACAAAAATCTTAAACCCTAAACCCCTAATCCTAAACCCCCTAAACCCTAGGCCCCCTCGTAGGGCTAGGGGTACTCAGCCCCGGAGCTTCACCAGGCATGCGCGAGCTCGGCGCCACCGTGGTGCCGGTGAAGAGCGGCAGCCGCACCTTGAAGGATGCCGTGAATGAGGCGCTGGGTCAGCGTTTAGGGTTTGGGATTTATAGGGGTTTGGGGTTTATAGGGGTTTATAGGGGTTTATAGGGGGTTTATAGGGGGTTTATAGGGGGTTTATAGGGGTTTATAGGGGTTTATAGGGGCTTATAGGGGTTTATAGGAGTTTAGGGTTTAGCGTTCGCTGGGGTTATACGGCTATACGTGGTATATTCCATAAAATCTCTGGGTAACAAGTCCGACTGGCCCTTGTTTGTAGCAAGTTCTACTACAATGTACCCAAGACACGCTATTCTCACTTTTCATCTAGGGGCCCCTATACCCTAAACCCCTGTACCCCAGATAGAGCAGTTTAAGCAACCCTAAACCTCTCAAAACAGTTTGGGAGAGGAGTAGATAGCTTGTTTACATAGCCAGCCCAAGACCTACTTGGATCCCTAATCCCAACAAACCTACCTGTTCTAAGGACTTCGTAAGGAAATCGTAAGAAAGAACCATAGCAAGATAGTGTATTTCGGGTCCAAGAAAACCCTAGACTTCTCTGCTTGCTTTGTTTTGTTTTTAACTCTTCTGACCTTTGGGCTGCAGAGTCTGTAAGAGGATGCCACGCAGTCACTCATAGCCGCATAGCCCATGCAAAGCCCGTAACTCAATTACCCTACCCCTGGGCCTGGGCCCGGTTTAGGGTTTAGGGTTAAGGGTTCAGGGTTTGGGGTTTTAGGGTTATAGGGTTTGGGG